AAAAAAAAAAAGAATCTGCCTGCCAATGCAGGGGACACAGGTTTGAGCCCTGGTCTGGGAAGGTCCCACATGCTGCAGAGAAACTAAGCCCGTGCACCACAACTACTGAACCTGCACTCTAGAACCCACGAGCCACAACTACTGAGCCCACGTGCCACAACTGCTGAAACCCACGTGCCACAACTACTGAGGCCCGTGTGCCTAGAGCCTGTGCTCCTCAACAAGAGAAACCACCGCAGTGAGAAGCCCGCACACTGCAACGAAGAGAAACCCCCACTCACCGCAACTAGAGAAAGCCCACCACAGCAATGAAGACCCAACATAGCCAAAAATAAGTAAATAAATAAATTTATTGGGGGGGAAAAAAAAGGGTGATCCATTTGATGGGAATTCCCTGGTGGTCCAGAGGTTAGGACTTGGTGCTTTCACTGCCTGGGCTCAGGTTCAGTCCCTGCTCAGGGAACTAAGATCCCGCAAGCTGTGTGGCCTGGCCACACACAAAAAAGAATGATCCATTTGAGAAGGAGAGTTTGAAGATGTGCATGAATGAAGAAATAACAAGGAGGGGCCAAGGCAGGAGGGATGAAATCCAGCCAGCACACGTGGAAGTGTTGGTCTTTGCAAGGAGGTACATGTTTTCCATATAAGAGGAGACAAGGAAAAGAGGCATGCAGTTCCGAACTAAATTTGACAGTGAGGTGGCTTCATTTTTCTCACTGAAATGAGTCAGATTCTGTTACCAGCATGAAATGGGTTTGAGGAACAAGTAGAAGGCATGAAATAATTCTTGCCTGATGGTGAGAAAGTGCCCTGTCTAGAGACCTTGAAGGATTTCCAGCTACTGAGGGCTCATTTGAAGTTAATGTTTATGAATTTTCCATGACATACTATGTTGCGTGACTCTTCCCCTCTTCTTCTTTTTTAAAAAATATTTATTTATTTATTTTTGGCTGTGTTGAGTCTTAGTTGCGGCATGCAGGGTCTTCATTGAGGCATGTGGGATCTTTCATTGTGGTGCACGGGGCTTCTATCTAGTTGTGGCCTGCAGGTTCCAGGGTGTGTGGGCTCTGTAGTTTGGGGCACGTGAGCTCTGTAGTTTGGGATACGTGGGCTCTAGTTGAGGTGCGTGAGCTCAGTAGTTGTGGCGTGTGGGCTTAATTGCCCCGTGGCATGTGGGATCTTAGTACCCTGACCAGGGATCGAACCCAGGTCTCCTGCATTGTAAGGTGGATTGTTTACCACTGGACCACCAGGGAAGTCCCCTCATCCCCTCTTCATAGATGATTAGCTGCTGGGTGTTGCCATAAAAGAGGTGAATAGTGAAGTTCTTCCAGGAGAATGTCTTAGAGTGTAATGGAGGAGAGGGAACAAGGAGTTGAGGATATTTGTAAAGGAGTAATTTATACTTCGGACTATGGAGGGAATTTAATCAGTTAAAAGTGAGGTGGAGGTCAGTGAATGTATTGCATGTTGAAACCTTTGACAAAAATGCAATCTCTGGCTAATCACTCTCTCTTCATGTCTGAGTGCCATACCTTTCAAATAGATATTTTTGAAAATTTATTTATTTGGCTGCACCGGGTCATGGTTGCAGCATGTGGGATCTGTAGTTGCAACATGCGAACTCTTAGTTGAGGCATGTGGGATCTAGTTCCCTGACCAGGGATCGAACCCAGGGCCCCTGTATTGGGAGCACAGAGTCCTAGCCACTGGACCACCAGGAAGTCCCTCAAATATTTGTAGAATGAACAAATGCTAGTCTCTTAGAGAAGATGTCTTACATCTGTCAGTTCTAATTCTTCTACAACCTCCAGGGTATAGCAACCTTTTCCAGTGTGAACACTTATGAGGGTGGGAATAGGCAGGCCTTCTTATCCTCTGGCATGTAGTAATCATTCAATAAATATTTGTTGAATGAATGACCATGTGATTTCTGCTTGATTAGTCCCTTATGTTGTATGAAATTGTCAGATTTATTGGATGTATTCCACACTAAACTGTTAGCTCCAAAAGGATTAGAACTATATCTTACTCATCCCTGTATTTTCAGTGGCTGGCAGAGAACAGGAGATAAGTGAAGAGTTGAGAGAACTTAATTTTTTTTAAAGATGCAACAGAAGCTACAACAGATAGAAGTCTTCCATTCAGTTAATAGTTGGAATAAGGTAGTTTCATTACATATAAATCATTAGAGTGAGGAAATGTATCTTAAGATATCCTCATTAAGTAGTTTGATGTATGGCATGACCACTTTTATGTTGTATTTTTATAGATGTGTTCTAACAAATTTCTTTGGGGGTTTGTTTGCTAGGAGGAGGCGTCTCCCTACTCTTTGGTCAACATCTGCCTGAACGTCCTGGTTGCTAACCTGGAGAAATTGTGTTCTGAAAGATCTGATGGAACACTTTGTCTTCCGGAGCATTGGAGTTTCCCTCAGGAATTAGCTGATCAATTCGTTGGGGTCATGACTTGGCAAGGTAATGATAAGGCTCCTTTATAGTGTACTTTTATAGCACTTTACTATTTGAAAAGCACTTTCACATATAATTCCTGTTTTGCTCCTCACAGCAACCCGGTGAGAAATATAGAAGTTATTCCCATTTTATTTGTGTGGAGGTTGGTTCTCCGAATCTTTCTGGGATCCCTTGATGGAAATTGTCTTGCATCTAGGCTTGCCCTGCTGTTGCTATAGTCTCATCTCCCATTCTTTTCTTTGTGAATATGAACTTTTAAATTTTTTTCCTTTACCTCCTATTGTAGTGGGGCTTTCAAAGAGCTATGTTTAATTTGCGATGTTACAGTTTTTTCTTAATGAAAAATTTTTGGGGGTAACACATTATTGAGATAAAATTCACATACTGTATAATTTATCCATTTAAAGTATACAATTCAGTTATTTTTAAATTTTTTTTAGTATATTCACAGATTTGTGCAGCCATCATCACAGTCAATTTTCATCACTTTAAAAAAAATCTCCTTATCCATTCCACCCTAATTTTAAGCAGTCATAATCTACTTTCTACCTGTATGGATTTGCCTTTTCTGAACATTTAATATAAATGGAATCATTCAACATGTGGCCTCTTGTGTCTGGCTTCTTTCACTCAACATAGTATTGTCAAGGTTCATCCATGTTGTAACATCAATCACTACTGAATTTTGATGGCTGCATAATATTCCACTGTATTGATATACCCCTTTTTATTCATTTCTCAGTTGATGAACATTGGGTTGTTTTTACATTTTGGCTATTATAAATAATGCTACTATAAACATTAGTGTACACATTTGTGTGTGGGCATATGTTTTTATTTCTTTTGGGTGTATACCCAGGAGTGGAATTGCTGGATTAAATGGTAGCTCTGTGTTTAACTTTTTGAGGAACTTCCAAACTCTTTTCCAAGGTGGCTGCATTGTTTTATGTTCCCACCAGCAGTGTTAACAAGAGTTCAAATTTCTCCACATCCTCACCAAAACTTGTTATCTGACTTTTTGGTAGCCATCCTGGTGGATGTGAAGTGGCATCTATTGTGATTTTGCTTTGCATTTCCCTAGTGACTAATTATATTGAGCATTTTTTCATGTCCTTGATGGCCATTTCTTTATTCTCTTTGGAGAAGGCTCTATTCAGATTTTTTGCCTATTTCTTATTAGGTTATTTGTCTTTTATTATTGAGTTGTAAGATATGTCCCTCATCAAACATGGTTTGCAGTTATTTTCTCCCATTCTATAGATTGTCTTTTCACTTCGTTGATAGTGTCCTTTTACTCACAAAAGTTTTTAATTTTGATGAAGTCCAATTTATCTTTTGTTACTTATGCTTTTGGTATCATATCTAAGAATCCATTGCCAAAGCCATTGTGAAGTCCTAAAGATTTTACACCTATATTTTCTTTTAAGAGTTTCATTGCTTTCACTCTTATGTTTAGTACTTTGGTCCATTTTGAAATAATTTTTGGCGTGAGGTGTAATGGTCCAGCTTCATTATTTTGCACGTGGCTATACAGTTGTCCCAGCACTATTTGTTAAAAAGGCTGTTCTTTTTTTGTGTTGAATAGTCTTGGCATCCTTGTTGAAAATCAGTTGACCATAGATGTATGGGTTTATTTTTGTACTCTCAATTCTATTCCATTGATTGATGTGTCTATCCTTATGTCAGTACCAAGTAGCTTGATTACTGTTCGCTTTGTAGTGAGTTTTGAAATTGTTAAGTGTGAGTCTTCCAACTTTGTTCACCTTTTTCAGGATTGTTTTGGTTATTCTGGGTTCTTGATATTTTCATGTGAATTTGAGAACTGACTTGTCAGTTTCTACAAACAGTCCAGCTGGGATTTGAATAGGAATTACATCAAATATGTATAATCAATTTGGGGATTATTGCCATCCTAACAGCATTAAGTCTTCTGATCCATGAATATGATGTCTTTCTATTTATTTAGATCATCTTTAGTTATTTTCACCAATGTTTTACCATCTTAACAATCTGAAATCCTTAATACATGAGCATGAGAGAGCTTTCTATTTATTTAAAATAGATCTTTATTTCAACAATGTTTTCTAATTTATGGGTATAAGTTTACATCTTTGTTAAATTTATTTCTAAAATTTTATTCTTGATGAAGTTACACAATTGCTTTCTTAATTTCATTTTTGGATTGTTCATTTTTAGTGTACAGAAATACAATTGATTTTTTAAAATTATTTTGAAAATTTTTATTAGGCTGTGCTGTGTGGCATGTAGGATCTTAGTTCCCCATCCAGGGATCAAACCTGTGCCCCCTGCATTGAAAGCACGGAGTCTTAACCTCTGGACCACCAGGAAAGTCCCTACAATTGATTTTTTATGTTAATCATATACCCTGGAAACTTGCTGAACTGATTTATGTGTTCTAATAGTTTAAAGGATTTCTTAGAATTTTCTGTATACAAGATCATGTCATCTGCAAATGGAAATGGTTTTACTTCTTCCTTTCCAGTTTGGATGCCTTTTATTTGATTTTCTTGTCCAACTTCCCTGGCTAGAACCTCCAATACAAAGTTGAAGTATTGAAACATTCACCCTTTTCATTTCCTGGTCTTAGAGGGAAAGCATCTAGTCTTTTACCATTAAGAGTTATTTTAGCTTTGGGTTTTTTGTAATTGACCTTAACAGGCTGAGGAGGTTCCCTTCTGTTTTAGTTTGTTGAATGTATTCATCAGGAAGAGGGTGTTGGCTTTTTCTGCATTTGTTGAAATGTTCACGTGGGTTTTGTTTTTTATTCTTTTAATGTAGTGTATTACATTAATTTGCTTTTGGATGTTAATCCTTTCTTTTCTGGGATAAATCCCACTTGGTCACATTGTATAAATCTTTTTGTTTATTACTAGATTCAGTTTGCTAGTAATTTGCTGAAGATTTTTGCATCCATAATTTAAAAGGATTTTGGTCTGTGATATTCTGTTCTTGTCATGTCTTTATATGGATTTTTGGCATCAGGATAAAACTGGCCTCAATGAATTGGGAGGTGTTCTCTTTTTTTTTTTTTTTAAGAGGAATTTGTGAAGAATTGGTATGTATTCTTCTTTAAATGTTTGGTAGAATTCAATAGTGAAGCCCTCTTGGCCTCTATATGTAGATAGTTTTTTGATGATGAATTCAATCTATTTACTTGTTATAGGTCTATTCATATTGTCTGTTTCTTCTTCAGTAGCTTTGGTAGTTTGTGTTATTCTGTGAACTTATCCATTTCATTTAAATTATCTGATTTATCAGCATACAGTCTGTTCATATTTCTTTACAATTCATTTTATTTCTGCAAGGTCAGTAGTTCTGTCCCTTTCAATTCTCATTCTAGAAATTTGAGTTCTCTTTTTTTCTTGGTCAGTAGAGCTAAGTTTTGTCAATTTTATTGATCTTTTCAAAAACCATCTTTTGATTTCATTGATTTTTTTTTTTTTACTTTATTTTCTTTTCTGTCCTCCATTTCATTAATTCTCATAATTTTTATTATTTTCTTCCTCCTGCTCATTTTGTGTTTGGTTTGCTTTTCTTTTTCCTGTGTCTTAAGGTAGAAGTTTAGGTTATTGTTTTGAGAGCTTCTTTTTAAAATATATGCAATTAGAGCTATAAATTTCCTTCAAGCACTGCTTTAGCTGCATCCTGTAAGTTTTTGTATGTTGTCTTTATTTTTCATTCATCTCAAATTATTTTCTGATTTTTCCCTTTTGATTTCTTCTTTGACCCACTGGGTTTTAAGGAATGTATTGTTTAATTTCCAAATACTTTTGAATTTCCAGATTTCTTTGTTATTGATTTTTAAATTCATTTAACTGTACTTTGAAAACATACTTTGTTTTATTTCAGTTTTAAAAAATTTATTGAGATTTGTTTTTTGGCCCAATATATGCTCTATTTTGGAGACTGTTCCAAGTGCATTTGAGAAGAATATATATTCTGCCATTATTGGGTGAGTTCTGTAGATTTCTGTTAGATCTAGTTGGTTTATAATTGTTTTAATCTTCTATTTCACTGTCAATCTTTTGTAGTTTTTCTGTATAGAAAATAGTTTTTTAATCCTTTTTGTTATTCATGCTAAATAGGATATACATGTACTTTTAAAATACATTGTTGGGACTTCCCTGGTGGCACGGTGGTTAAGAATCTGTCTGCCAATGCAGGGGACATGGGTTTGAGCCCTGGTCTGGGAAGATCCCACAGCCTGTGCACCACAACTACTGAGCCCGTGCTCTAGAGCCCATGAGCCACAACTACTTAGCCCGCTTGCCACAACTACTGAAGCCTGCATGCCTAGAGCCTGTGCTCTGCAGCAAGAGAAGCCACTGCAATGAGAAACCCGTGCACTGCAACGAAGAGCAGCCCCTGCTCGCTGCAACTAGAGAAAGCCCGTGTGCAGCAACAAAGACCCAATGCAGCCCCCCAATCCCAAGAAAAAATACATTGTTGGATTTGATTTGCTAATATTTTGTTGAGGTTTTTTTGTTGTTGTTGAGGATTTTTGCATCTGTGTTCATGAGAGATATTGGTCTATAGTTTTCTTTCATAGTAGCTCTGTGGTTTGTTTTTTATTTTATTTTTATTTTTTATTTATTTGGTTGCACCAGGTCTTAGCTGCAGCAGGCAGGCTCCTTAGTTGTGGCTTGCAAACTCTTAGTTGCGGCATGCATGTGGGATCTAGTCCCCTGACCAGGGATTGAACCTGGGCCCCCTGCCTTGGGAGTGTGGAGTCTTATCCACTGTTCCACCAGGAAAGTCCCAGGTGCTCTGTGGTTCTGGTGTTAGGGTAATGCTGGCCTCAAAGAATGAGTTAGGAGGTATCCACTGTGCTACTATGCTCTGAAAGAAATTGTAGAGAACTTGTACAATTTCTTCCTTAAATGTTTGGTAGAATTCACCAGTGAACCCATCCATGTGCTTTTTGTTTTGGAAGGTTATTAATTATTGATTCAATTTCTTTAACAGATACAGATCCATTCACA